GGTCAGGTCTTCTCTTTTGGTAAGCTCAGTTTGGTACTGCACCTAAAAAGATAATGATTGTCAATTGCATTAAAAATGAAGTTTTCTGCGTGAAACTCTGTATTTTAATAATGAAATGGAGATCTTTTTTAAAGGTTAAAACCTCATTTAATTTTATGTCTTATAGGGTTTATACCGAGTACAATATTGTATAACTGTATTAATTAAACTGTAAACCTAAAACTTTATAGCCAATTTTGAAAGAGATCCATCTTAGCTCAGGAAATTGTTATTCAATGTGTCAATACTGTTGTAATGAAATGCTTCTTCTAAGTATGTGGTTATTAAATAAATAATTTTTAAAAAAAGGAATAGAATAAAAACTAAAAGGCTAAAAAAAACTTTTAAGTTCACTGTTGTATTAATAGTTATACAATATTGAACTCAGTATAAGCCCTGTAAGACATAAAATTGAATGAGTTTTTAACCTTTAAAAAATATCTCCATTCCATTTTAAAATATACTGTTTCTTACACAAAGACTTATTGTTTTTGCTCCTAAGACTGAGATGTTGGTGCATGCATCTCTAATCTGTATGTACCTGATTATTACTAGTCATAATTGGTTGTACTCGGATCCTTGGCACCTTTGTCTAAAGTCATTGGGTAGATTTCAATGGTAATGTTTATCAGCTCTACTAATTAACATAACGTAAATTTTTATGCTTCCTCCTCAAATATACTACATTTTTAAAAATTTGTTGATCTTTTGTGTGTGTGTGTATATCACACAGAACATCCCAAACCATTTTAAGTATTTTCTTAAATGCTATAGAGGTACTATTAATCAAAAAATTTCAGTACTCACCCTTTTCTCCACAAAATACTAGGGAGTGGGGTACTGATGCTGATAGCTGAAAATGTGAAAGTGGCTTTGGGGCAGGGTAATGGATGGAGTTTTGAATGTAAACTAGATGAAGCTTAAGTCACTTCAATGAGATGACTGACAAAAACATGAACATTAAAGGAAATTCTGGTAAGGACTCAAAAAAAAGAGTTAGAGAGAAAACATTTAGTCTTATGCACATACCATCATGAAGAGAATATTGTTGGGATGTAAGAGTTACTATGCTTCTGGTGAGGGTGCAGACAGAATGAAAGCATGTTATTAGAAATCAGAGAAAGGCAATCCTTGTTTAAAACGTAGCAAAAAAAAACAAAGCCGGGCGTAGTGGCGCACACATTTAATCCCAGCACTAAAGAGAGGCAGTTGGAAGCCAACCTGGTCTACACAGCAAGTTCCAGGCCAGCTGGGGCTACAGGGAGACCCTGTCTCAAAAAGACTAAAATCAAAATAAAATACAATAAAAACAAAAAGCAGCAAAAAAAAAAAAACTTAGCAGGATTGTGTCCTAGCATCTTGTAGAACAAAGATGATGGATTGATTCATCCGTATGTCTATCTGTCCGTCCATCCATACGTTGTCTATCCATTTGCCTGCCTTCCCCTTTCCTCCCTCCTTTCCTCCCTCCCTCTCACCTACTTTAAACTGGGTCTTGCTATGCTGCCCAAACTGGTCTCTAACTTAAAATTACCACCATGAACGTAAAACTTTTAAGTGATAAGCCTGAATGTTTAGCTGAGATTTCTTAACAAGTAGCAAGGTACAATCACTTTGCTGTTTATAGTAAAATGTAAGAGAAGAGAAACAAATTGCCAAATGAATAAGCAAAAATGAATCAGAATATGAAGATTTTGAAAATTTTCACTCTATTCAGATTGAAAAATATGAAAAATTGTGTTCTGGAAAAAACATCAGGGGTATGTATAACCATTGAAACAGTGATTGCATGTGTGATTCATGGATCCAATCAACCAGCTTAGCAGACACCAGAACAGGGATGAAATGAGCTAAGTATCTGTGGAGGACGTTATTGATGGATTGGCTTTGTATGAATTGCATGGGATTTTGATAACTTGTACCAGCAGAAAAGCTGGCAGCTTGGATGAAAAGGGACATAACACTAATAAAATAAACCATTCAATAGCTAAATAAAGTGACCCATATATTAAGAAAAAAAAAAAGGCTACAAGAAAGCCTAGTCACTAGAACTCTGGCTAATGAGTAATCTAAAGATTGTACCAAGAAATAACATATTAACTTTGTGTTTGCTACCTTTCTGAAGGAAAAATAAAAGAATTAACTTACCAAGGCTTCTGTTTTCTGTAACAGTTCCTGCTTTTCTGCCTGTAGTCTGGTGATCTCTAAAGACTGTAAGTTTAACTGAGACTTTAATGTTGCCAGTTCCTGAGGAAAGAAAATAGTGAAGTTGTAAAATTAAAAAGCATTATTTCTTTAAAGAAATGTCTGTTTACGGGGGGTGGGGTGGTGGTGGCACTTGGGTGGCTGTCCTTTCTTATCTTCAAAAATCCTAACTTCTAAGCTTTAAAATTTAATTCTAGGGGCTGGAGAGATGGCTCAGTGGTTAAGAGTACTGGCTGCTCTTGCAGAGGATGCAGGTTTGATTCCCAGCACCCACATAATGGCGACCAACAACCATTTGCAACTCCAGTTCCAGGAGATTCTTCTGGCCTCCTCGGGCATTGCACAACACAGGTGCACTCACACACATGAAGGTAGAACACTCATACACATAAAAAATATTTTTAAAAATTTAATTCTAGGCTGGGTGTGGTGGCACATGCCTTTAATCCCAGCACTCACTCAGGAGGCAGAGGCAGGAGGATCTCTGTGAGGCCAGCCTGGTCTCCATGGTTAATCCAGGACAGCGGGGGCTACAGGGAGACCCTTTCTCAAAAAGACCAAAAAATAAATAAAAAAAAATTAATTCTAGAGACCCACTCCCAACTTCCTGGGTTCAAGATGGAAAATAAAACACTTTTGTTTACCTCTGTTCCCTCTGAGAGTCCATGCTTCCCCACTTAACCACCCCCCCCCCAGCCCCAAATCATAAAGGGAGGGAGAAAGGAAGTAAGGAAGCCAGACAGGCAGGCACAGGACAAGAGAATAGAGAAAACAAGTCTGGGCATTTCAGAAGCAAATAATGTTGGTGACCTGAGAAGCTGAAAGCCATGCTAGTCACTGTGATAGCAAAGTGACACCTGATCAACAAAGACTCCATAGCTACCTGTACCATTAAGCACTTTTTTTTTTTTTTTTTCCCAGTCTTTTTGAGACAGGGTCTCCCTGTAGCCCCAGCTGGCCTTGAACTTACAGAGATCCACTTGCCACTGCCTTGTGGCTTGTGCCACCACTCCCGGCTTGTGATTAGGTATTTAGGTAAACATGGGGTTTAAAAACTGCAGGGTTGGTTCAAGGTCTATTTAAAGAGGAATCCCTGCCCAAATCTTATGCATCATTCTCTTCTACTGGCTGAAGGCTAAAGGCTCATGATTTGGAATGGCAAACAGGTCAGCTCTAGACTAGGGGCCATCGAATAGATGAAAGTAGTAGTACTACCATGAAATGAGGTAACAAGCCAGGCCTGGTGGTTCACACCTTTAATCCCAGCACTCAGGAGGCAGAGGGATCTCTGTGAGATTGAGGCCAGCCTGGTCTACAAATCGAGTTCCAGGCCAGCTGAGCCTACTGGGAGACCCTGTCTCAAAGAAAATGAGGTAACAACTCAAAGTTTATATTAATGTTAAACTTTCTAATGTTCTTATTTCCCCTCCCCACCACCCAAATACAATAAATGAAAAGCAATTAAAATGGTAGTTCTCAACCAGGGATGTTTCCTGCCCTAGAACATCTGGCAGTGTCTAGAGACAGATCTGGTGGTGAGATATAAGCATATGAATGGTTCTTTTCTTCTGCTCTCTTTAAAATATCTATCATATGCCTTTTCTTCAATTGCTTTGTTTTCTCGTTAATTTAAATGAGTGTATAGACAGTGATATTGAGGATAATTTTAGTTTTTGGCCTTATATAGTATTTATTTTTAAAACTTTTGTGCGTGTATATGATGTATACATATGTGTGCACATGTGTGTGCAGGTAGGTATGTGTGCCTTTGTGGAGGCCAGACGTTGGTATCTGGTGTCTCCCTCTTGCTTTCCACCTAATTTCTCTCTCTGAGAGCATATTGTTGGTATATAAGTAGGCTGCTATTTTTTTTAATATTAATCTTATGTCCTGCAACTTTACTGTGTTTATCAGATCTAGGAGTTTTCTAGAGTCTATAGGGTCTTTTAAGTACAGAACCACGTCCTCTGCAAATAAGGACACTCTGACCTTTCCTTCCTATTTTTATCCTTTTCATGCCTTTCTCTTGTCTAACTGCTACAGGTAGGGTTTTGAGCACTATATTAAATAAGCGAGGGAAGAGTGGGCATCCTTGTCTGGTTCCTCTCAGTGCATCTCCATTTACCATAATGCTGCCTCTGGGTTTGTTGTATATAGCTTTTTTTAAAAAAAATTATTTATTATTTTTATTTTATGTGTATGCATATATTGCTTGCATGTAGGTAAGTGCACCCGTGTCATGCAATGCCCACAGAGGTCAGAAGAGGCTGTTGGATCACCTGAGACTGGAGTTATGGACAGTTGTTAGCTTCCATGTGGGTGCTGGGATTTGAACCCTTGTCTTCTGCAAGAACAACCAGTTTTCTTAACTGCTGAGCCATCTCTCCAGCCCCTATAGCTTTATTATATTGAGGAATGCTCCATCTATTCCTAGCCCCTCTAAAACTTTTATCATAAACACATGCTAAACTTTCAGTAACAACGTGGTTTCTGTCCTTCAGCATCCTTATATGGTGTGTTACATTTATTGATTTATATATGTTGAACCAACCTTGCCTTTCTGGAATGAAGCCCACTTGGTCATAATGTATAATCTTAGTATGTTCTCAAACTCAGTTTGCAAGTATTTTCTTGAGAATTTTTTGTATCTATGTTCATTCAAGAAATTGATCTGTAGTTTTTTACCCTGATTTTGGCATCAGAATAATACTGGCTTCAAAGAACTAATGTGGTAGTGTTCCTGTACTTTCTATTTTGTGGAACAAGTTAAGAAGTATTAGGTGTGAGATCTTCCTTGAAAGTTTGATAAAATTCAGTGGCAAACCTGTCCAGTCCTGGGCTTTTCTTTGAAGGGAAAGTTTTTTTTAATTTATTTATTTTTATTTTATGTGTATTAGTGTCTTACTTGCATGCAAGTGCACCCATGCCATGCAATACCCTCTTGGAGGTCAGTAGAGCGCGTCAGATCCCCTGTAACTGAAGTTACAGATGGTTGTTAGCTGAACTCAGGTCCTCTGGAAGAACAATCAGTGCTCTTAATTGCTGAGCATTTCTCCAGCCCCTGAAGGGATACTTAAAAAACTTTTTTTTTTCTCTGAGACAGGGTCTCACTATTTGCACTGGCTGCCTGGAATTTGCTATGTAGACCAGGCTGCCCTTGAACTCACAGAGATCTGCCTACTTCTGCCTCCAGAAGGCTGGGAATAAAGGCATGTGGCACCAAGCCCAGCCCAAGGGAGACTTGATTATAAAGTTTCTATCTCATTGCTTGTAATGAGTCTATTTAAGTTATTTACATGCTCTGCTTTTAATTTTTGGTAGAAGATAATCTACAAATAACTTTGGTGAGATGCTGGGCACAATTAAAACAAAAATATTGGACCAGTGAGATGGCTCAGCAGGTGAAGGCATTTTTTGCTAAGCCTGATGACCTAAGTTTGATCAAAGACCTACATGGTAGGAGAGAACCAACTCGCTCAAATTGTCCTCTTAACTTCATACATGCACTCTGGCACTGACACTGCATACACACACACACACACACACACACAATGAAATAAATGTAAAACTATTAACAAAACAATAAAAGGAAAAATACCATTACCATGTAACTAAAAACAGCTTCTGGATTTTCAAATGCTTGTCTTATCAAATTTTATTATGCCTAACAACATAGTTGTAGGTCAATAAAGTAAAACAGCAGGTTGTTATAGCATTGCTACCAAAACAAGATGAAATAGAAGCTGGCTCAAGGTAGAAATTTACCTGTTGTAATTCTGCAACTTGCTCAGAATCTCTAGGTAAGGCTGTTGCTGAAGTCTGTTCATTCATGACAGAAGATGTTTGGGAAGATTTCTACAATTAGCACGGAAATAAATATGAAAGTCAATCTAAAGAGAAAGGAATAATTCAAAGCAAAACTATTCATATGTAAGCTCTTAAGATGCTTATGAAAATTTTTCACATAAACATTTCAATTTTTAAATGTAGGATAAAAATTTAGCACAGTATTGATTATCTATAACTTTTCCATAGCTAATGAAGTTGTACTTAAACCAAGTAATTCATTAAATCTTAGCATGCATCTGAGGTTATTTGCAGCAAAAGCATAATGTTTACTGAACGAGCTCTACATTAGAAAACTATCTCATTCAAGTCTCAGAGCTGGGAAGATGGCTCCCTGGGTAATGGCACTTGTTGTCAAGCCTGATGATGACTTGAGTTTGACATCTGTGCCCACAAGTAGGAAGGAGGCAACTGACTACTGAAAGTTGTCCTGACCTCTGTGGTTTTTGTGCCCATGCTCATACACAAACACAAACACACATACAGTCAATCAATAAATATAATTTCAAAAGTCTTTGAAATACATGAGTACTACTTTATAAAGAAACAATCCCAGCATTAAGAAAAACAAACAAATAAGCCAGCAAAACAAGTTAGAAGAGACCGAGTGCTTGGATTCAGTTACCAGGAAACAGTGAAGCCCAGACTGATTTCAGATCATACTCTGAAATCTTAATACATGATTCTCTGGCTTAAGCAACCCAGAAAAACAAAGAAGCCAGGCCCAGTGGGGGTGGGGGGGGCATGCCTGTGATCCTAGCACTTGGGAGGTGGAGGCAAGAGAATCAGGAATTCAAGATAATCCTAGGTTGGCTATTCGAGACCCTGTCAAAACAAAAACAAAAACAAAAAAACAAAACAAAAAACAAAGGCAAACCCAGAAAAACAAGCAAAATGACAAGAATTACTCTGTCCTTTCATTTAAAAAAAGTTTTTATAAGATTTATTTACCAGCTTAGGTGCTTGGGAGGCAGAGGCAGGTGGATCTTTGTAAGTTCAAGGCTAGCCTGATCTACATAGTGAGTTCCAGGCCAGCTGGGGCTACAAAGACCCTGTTTTAAAAAGATTAAAAAAAAAAAATTACTTACCAAATTTTCAATCAAAGAGTCCTTTTCGGCTAGCTGGCTTTGTAAAAGCTCCTGATAACTTTTTAACTCTTCTATCTCTTCCCTCAACCGACTGATTTCTGGCTGAATGCCATTCATCTGAGCCCCATCACTGTGAGAACCTTGATGATGACTGTCTTTTCCTATTAAACAGGCATAAAATTTGAAAAGCCAGCAGGAAAGTTTTCCATTTTTTGAACTAGAAGACTTGAAATATGAGATTAGTAAAAATTCAAATATACAATTTCCTTAACTCAATCTGGCAGTACTTTTGCAATGGCATTTCATCTTTGAAGCTAGGCTACTGATAAAAATAGCAAACTGGTAAGTTCAGGGTTTCCGGGAGGGAAAGCATTAGTCTTGATGCACTTGTCTGGCTTGGTGATCTATGACTAAAACCTACAGTGGCTGCAGTTCTAATTCTGACAATGTATGTAAAGAGAAAGTAAAATCCCTTAAAAAATCTCCACAGAGGAATAGCTATCTATACTGACTGAAGTAACCAACAAATCATTGTCATAAATCAAGAAAAATTTGTTTCTAAAAACTTTAGTCACCCTGATATAAATAAAACAAACTTCAAGTAACTAGCTGTTCTAGTTTGCTTTCTGTTGCTCTGTTAAACATCACAACCAAAAGCAACTTGAAGGAGGAAAGTTTATTTCAGCTTACAAGTTATAGACCATGGCTGGGGAAAGAAGCCAAGGCAGGAACTCAAGGCAGGAACCTGGAGGCAGCAACAGAAGAAAAGACCATGGACGAATGCTGCTTACTGGCTTACTCGCCTGGCTTGCTTCAGCTGTCTTCTTATACAGACCAGACCTACTAGCCAAGGGATGGCACTGGCCACAGAGGGCTGGGCCCTCTTCCATCAACTAGCAACTAAGAAAATACCTCAAGGGGGATGGAAAGGTGGTTTAGTGGTTAAGAGTACTGGCTGCTCTTCCAGAGGACCTGAGTTCTGAGCACCCACATGGTGGCTAACAACTGTCCATAAATCCAGTTCTAGAGAACCAGACACTCTTTTCTGGTCTCAGTGAGCACTGCACTTGGGTACACTTACATACATGCAGGCAAAACACTCATACACATATTTGGAACTGAGGCAATTGAAAGACTTTATCAGTCAAATTTGAAACAGCTATGGATTAGAATCACCTGGGGAGGTTGTATGTTTGATATTGTTATGTTTTTAAACCATAGTATAAAGCCCCCAGTCAACAATCAATAAGTCAGAAAACTGAGCAAGAGGCATAGAGGTTAGACTTCAAATCTGAGACATCTAGTCTTAACTACTCTTAATTACCAAACCATTTTGCTTTAAGTTCTAACTTAAGTGTTTGTCATAGTGATTAAGGCTAGAGGAAAGCAGTCCACACAAAGGATCTACTTGACTTGTCCAGCTCTGAGGATAGTATGACCTGCTACAATGCTGAAGACCAGCTACACCTACCGAGTTGAACTTTAAGAAGATTATACTGATCCTTGTGCTGCTGAATCTGAGATACTTGCTGCGTGACTGCTGTCTGGAGCTGTTCATTTTGACATTTCAATGTAGAAACTTGCTGTTTCAGTTCTTCCAACTGTAGATCCTGTGAAACAAAATATAATACAGGCATTCTAATTCATATTAATTAGCATTAAGTATAAGAACAAATACAATGTAGAGGATATTTTGAGATCAGTATGTTAAGATACTCAACATTTCCAAAATCATCCAATAATTAAGCATTAGTACTTGAATATATGCCCCAAAGCCAATGAACATGCAGCAGAACTGTGAGGCTTCAAACAGGGCTCCACTGACAAACACCACGGCACAGTCTGCAATCTCAGTAACAGTACTCAAGAAAACCAAATGAAAAAACTCACTTTGGGGCTATCAAACCATTTATGATATTTACACCACACTACTTAAGAAACTTCATATATGAGGGCTAGAGAGATGGCTCAGAAGTTAAGGGTACTGGCTGCTCTTGCAGAGGACCTGGGTTCAGTTACCAACATCCACATGGTAGCTAACGACTATCCTAACTCCAGTAACTGGGGATCCGATGCCCTCTTTTGACCTCCACAGGCATTGCACAACACAGGTGCACTTACATACATATAGGCAATACACTCATAAACAGAAAATACTACTAAAAAACAAAACAAAACCCTTTGCCTCTGAAAATAAACATATGCATCTATATCATCAAACAGTTTTAAAATTATTTATTTGTGTGTATGTTGTGTGGAGATATATGTGGAGGTCAGAGGACAACTTGAGAGAGTTGGCTCTCTCTCTCTTTCTACCATGTGGGTCCTAGGGATTGAACTCAGATTGTCAGGCTTGGTGGTAAGTGACTTTTCCCACTGAATCATCTTGACAGACCTCATCTATATTATTTTAACACTAAAAGATAATCATAGAATATTTAGAAGACTGAAAGAAGAGTTTATAACTCTCATCCACTTAACAGTAGCTGGAATGTGATGTATTTTCTTTTGTTTTCCAATCTACATCTTTTCCCCGCTCTAGTACTGAGTATTGAATCTACAGCCTCACACAGGCTAGGCAAGTGTTCTACCACTGGGTCACATTCTCGGACTTTTTTTTTTTTAACTTTTTATTTTATTTTATCATAGGATCACTCTAAATTAACCAGACTGACCTTGAATTTGCAATCCTACCTGAACCTCTGGTGCCCTAAGTCTGGTTCTAGTCCATGTTTTCTAAACTTGCCATAATCAGTGCACATATAATTTTGTAACATTTAATTTACTATTTGTCTATCATTTTCCCTACTGAAAATATCTATCTATCTATCTATCTATCTATCTATCTATCTATCTATCTATCTAATCTATCTATCCCTTATACAATCATCTTTTAAAATATTTTAATTAATTGGGGCTGGAGAGATGGCTCAGCAGTTAAGAGCACTGGCTACTCTAGCAGTGGACCTGGGTTCGATTCCCATGGCAACTAACAATCACCCATAACTCCAGTTCCAGGGGAACCAGATGCCCTCTTCTGACCTCTGAGGGCACTGCATGACATGGGGTGCATTTACATACTTGCAAGCAATACACTCAGACACATAAAATAAAAAATATTAATAATATTAAAAATTTTAAATTAACTAAATAATGTGTGTGTGTGTGTGTTTGTGCACGTGTGAGCCACAGAATGTCAAAAAAGGGCATCAGGTGTCCTTTTCTATCACTCTTCCCCCAGGGCTCATGTTTTTTGGCTAGGCTGGACGCCAGCAAGCCCCAGTGCTCCTCCTGTCTCTTCTGCCTCTCTGAGCTGGGATTACAGGAGTACACTGTACTCCTAGGCTGTTACCTAGGTGCTAGAATCCTAATTCTGGTCCTCATGAGTTATCACTCCAGTTCTGCAAGCATGATATTTTTTTTTGAGACAGGGTCTCCCTGTGACCCCAGCTGGTCTGGGACTCATTATGTAGACCAGGCTGGCCCTGATTTCATAGAGATCCACCTGCCTCTGTCTGTTTCCCAAGTGCTGGGATTAAGGGCATGCTGGAGCACAAATTTTAATGCTCACTTAATACCTGAACAAGTAGATGTATTGCAAATTATGTTAAATGCTTTTAATGCAGAGGTTGCTTTCCATTTTTCAAAATGAAAAATGTTACTAAAATAAATATATTAGTACATATAGCTATATTTCTTGAAGTTTGGAGAACTTCCTTAGGCTGGAATCTCAAATGTCATTAAAAGAATATAAACATCTTATAGATCTAGATATTTATTGTAAATGCCAAATAGAATTTAAGTGGTCAGAATATATGAAATTAAAATTTATAGTAATTGTATCAAATCATTCTCTTCTTTTTCCGAATCAATTGTATACATCAAACCCAAATGTGGGCTACACATCACATTCCAAGTATTTATTTTTCATTTTTCCACAAACATTACATTCATAAATGAGAAACGATTCCATATTTGTACCAAGTCATAGATGAGAAATTCAGAATTTGTAGTACTCTGATGAGTCAAACATTGATCAAAGATGATTCTAGTTTATTGCTTGAAAACTGAAAAGCTGAGACCAAATGCTAAATACGCAACATTATCATTCTTTTAAAAAATATTTTATTGTTTTTAGTGTACGAGTGTATTGCCTGCATGTAAGTGCACCCATGTCATGCAATGCCCATGATGGTCAGAAAAGGGCATGAGATTCCCCTGGAACTGGAGTTACAGACAGTTGTTAGATGCCATTGTGGGTAGTAGGAACCTAACCCTAGTCTTCTGCAAGAGCAATCAGTGCTCTTAACTGCTGAGCCATTTCCAGTCCCACACAACTAAATTATCATTCTTAAATTTTCATTCTCACTGGGCTAATCCCAGCACTTGGGAGACAGAGGCAGGAAGATCTCTGTGAGTTCAAGGCTAGCCTGGTCTACAGAGTGAGTTACAGGCTAGCTGGGGCTATAGGGAGACACTGTCTCAAAAAAACAAAAAAACAAACAAACAAAAAAAAAGGTTCCAAGAGAACTCCTCATTACCTACACTAAGAAACTGTTTATCTAACCACTAGAAGCAACTGTCCAAGACAAAAACCTAAGAATCATTCTTGACCCTTTCTGCACCTTTATACCTTCATCTAAACAATACTAAGCCTAATCAAGTTTTGTCTTTAATTTCTACATTTTTCAAGTCTGTTCCCTCCACATCACACAGTATGAGCTTTAGGCTCTCATTAAATACACATAGACTTGAATTCTGTTCCAACAATTACTGAGTGATGCAGGGCAAACAAATTTTCTAAGTCACAGATCTCCATTTATCCTAAACTGAATATAGTTACTGCCTTGAAGAGGTGCTGTGGAAATTAAATGAAACAGTGGTTAAACATACTGAGTTCATAGAATATAGCAAACAAATAGGAGTAGTCATTGTATTATGTTGCCATCAGTGCCCTAATACCCTCTTCTAACCTATCTACCTGGGCTCCCTAACTCTAGCCTTGGCCCTCAAATGTCTCCTTCACATAGTTAGTCAAGAGGCTGTTCTAGGTACATGTCAGCAACAGGCTTATCATGCTGTTTGCCATCTCCTGTGTGCTCCCTCTCCCTCTCTCTCTCTCCCTTTTGTCTTTTTGAGAAAGGATCTCCCTGTAGCTCTAGCTGGCCTGGAACCCTCTATGTAGACCAGGCTGGCTTCAAACTCACAGAGATCCACCCACCTCTGCCTCCCAGTTGCTGGGATTAAAGGCATTCACCACCATGCCTGGCAGCATAGCGTATTTCTATTCTTTTAGAGCTCAGCTTTCTGTTCTGTGTAAGCCTCTATGCCTACCTATTTAAATCAGTCATCTCTCGGTGCTGCTAAGCCTCTATTAGGTATAATATGTATGCTACAATAATTGACTGCTGGGACTGGAGAGATGGCTCAGTGATTAAGAAGAGTTGCTGCTCTTCCAGAGGACCCAGGTTCAATTCCCAGTACCCAGATGGCAGCTCAGGACTGCCTGCACACGTGTGGTGCACACACATATACTCAGACACACACACATATGCGTAAAATAAACTAAATAAATCTTTTATTTTTTGTGTATGTATTGCCTGCATTAGGTAAGTGCACACGTGTTGTGCAATGTCCACGGAGGACAGAAGAGGCTGTCGGATCCCCTGAAACTGGAGTTACAGTTGTTAGCTGCCATGTGGGTGCTGGGATTTGAACCTGGGTCTTCTGCAAGAACAACCAGTATTCTTAGCTGCTGAGCTAAGCCCCCATTAAGTAAACCTTTTTAAAAATTTTACTAACATGTCTGTCTCACCCTGAAAATGATACAAGAATCTCTCTCTCTCTCTCTCTCTCTCTTTTTTTTTTTTTGTCTTTTTGAGACAGGGTCTCCCTGTAGCCCTAGCTGGCCTGGAACTCGCTTTGTAGACCAGGGTGGCCTTGAACTCACAGAGATCCGCCTGCCTCTGCCTCCTTGAGTGCTAGGATCACAGGCGTGCGCCACCACTCCAGGCTACAAGAATCTCTTTGATTCATGTTTTGATCCACAACATCTTGCACAGTGCCTAGCATATACTAAGCACTCAATTTGCTAAAAACTCAGATGTTTTAGAAAATAATGAACTTCACTTTTTGTATTCTTCTTCCACTTGAAAGCTGAAGAAAACTTCCCTCAAGTAAAAAGGACCCACTGGCCATGAGTATATAGTATTAGCACTTACTTGCTCACGAATCATATTCTTATAGTGAGTCACAATGTTATCATGCTGTTCTAACGTTTTCTTTACCTCTTCCTCTTTTTTATCTTCCTCACTGGACTTATAAATAGCCTTAGTTATAACACCTGCAAAAGAAAACTTATTTAAAATATGTTAAAGTTACATGTTTTATTGTGATTCTGCAGATCAACTACAGAGCCTCGTTCATGTTGAGTGCACAGTTTACCACTGACAATTATACTCCTCACTCTATCTTAAGCATTGTAACTACTTCCTTATTTTGAGGATTTAATGAGTAAAAACAGCATAATTCATGACACATAAATGATTATCTTTCTATCTTACAGAAGTTCAAAATCTTTCAACTTTTAGGCTTACCATATCATCTATATGATTCCAGAAAGAAATACACGTAAATATAGTCACAATGGCCTCCTATTGAATATCTTTATAAATGTTTGTGTCTTACCTTCCAGTTCTTTGACCAGTTTTGTAAACTCATGATCAAATATCATATGTTCTGGACTGGGGAAGCTGGGCTGGGGTTTCTGTGATGCTCTGGAGTACAGCTCATGTTTGCTAATAAATCCCAGTTTCTCTATGAAATTTTCTTTGCCAATCCTCTTTTCTATTAGTTGCTTTAGTTTCTCTCTACAGAGATAAAAATATTGAGATGTTTAAAAAAAACCCCGCAAAATCATAAGTTTGGTCTAATTACAGTTTAGCAAAAAATGTATTATCTCTGGATCATTAGAGAACCATTTTGTCCTTACTTACTTCATGTAGTTTTCAAGTGAATTATCATTGAAGTAAATTGAAATGCCCAAAAGAAGAGCACATAAGCCTTGGACCAGTTGCTCTTCTTCTCCAAGATTTTCTGCGATTTGGCCTGTAAGCTGAAATCTTTGTTAAGGTGTTTAATGATTCATAGTATCTAGAATATTTTATAACTTGAATTTAAAATATAACTGATGTTATGATTTTCCGAAAGAAATTTTATATATATTTCAAGGCACCATACAATAAACAACAGCACATAGTGTCTCTCCCCCACCCCCCAGCTTAGGAATGCATCATTTATATTCATAAGTTTCAGAAGTTGCAACACAGATAAGTAGAGAATTCAAGCATTTTGGGCACAGGGTTACTCTTAACTGAGAAGAAGAAATTTAAAAGATGTAAGTTTCTTACATGTATGATATCAAAACATATATCATAAAGGATACAAATGGAACATTTGCTGAATTGTGAAGAAAATGAGTTACTACAATGGGACAGTTGCTTAGCCAGGTACAAAGCAACATTAACAACCCAACTCTTGTCTGTATTTTGCTTCCCTGAAAAAGATAAGTTGGCAGAAACAGCTAATTTATACAGTTAAAATAGCTAAATACAGTTGCAATTTTTCAAACTTAAAAAGTTGGCCTAAGATCCCTTCCCATTTGCATAAACAGAATTTTAGCATCATATAAAATACGTATAAGAATGGCAAATTTTAAAAAATTGAACTACAGAATATATTATTGTGTCTATCACAAATTGCACTTTCCAAAATGAACAGAGTGCAGAAATTAGAATGAACTCGTGTGCACAAGTACAACTTAAAGTACTAGTACTAGTGGTGGCTAGTCTTAGTATAAATATAGCCCAGCTGATACAGTGCTTGCCTACCATGTACAAAGCCCTGGGCTCTATCCTTGGCAGTGAATAATACTTGGTATGGTGGTGCATGCCTGTAATCCCAGCACTTGAGAGACAGAGGTAGGAGGATCAGAAATCTAAAGTTACCCTCAGGTACATGAGACTCTAAGATGTCATACTAAAAAAAAAAAAAATGATGTGGAAGCTTTAAAAGACCTACCAATTCCAAGACATTAT